AGTCTGACATTAAAGGTTTTTAAGTTATCATTCTCCTGTTGAGAAAATGAATAGGATTTTTACTTCCCGACCCAACTGTTGTACTCTATAACCCCACAGCTTAAGTGACAAGCAGAAAAGGAAAGTCATTTCAAGAAGCTAGTTGTATTTTTGATGAAAGATTACAAAGACATTTTTGTTATTTGTAATAATGTGCACAGATAAACCTTTCACAATAAAACCAGGACTCCACAAAATGTAAGAACATTTCCATTTATATTTATTTTTATTATTGTTTTAAAATTCATTTTTTCTTATTAAATAGAATATTATGGTCTATATAATTATTTACAGTCATTCTGCAATCACTTACAATAGCTCGCCATAGTGAAAGTTCTTGCTCATTCAAAACACCCTTCAAAACATCAAGCATGTTTTACATTACAATTTAATGTTTGTTAGAGTGATAATGAATTAAAATATAATTACAAGTATGATTATTCATATTTTTTTCCATATTTCTTGGCGTTGTTTTGTATTATCATTTGCTGTAGTGAAACTAATATAGCAAGTTGCCAACTAGTGTGTAAGCATATAAGTGTACAAAACAATACTGGTGAAAAGTCCATTAATTAATACATTATTGTCCAGTTACACAGCACAAAAATCAGCAGGCTAAGTGAATGTTTTTGAGCAAGATTATGGATTCCACCGAAGTAATAGAAGCCTTTAAGACAGAATCACACATGTTGATGTGAAGTAATCGGTGCTCTTCTCTCAGTGTTGTCACAGTGCAGTAATGTTTGTCCTGTGGATCTGTGTCGAATGATTTGTTGTTATGGTCGCTGCACTGTGAGGTTGATGTGCAGCTTGTGCAGCTCTTGTAAGAGTTGGGAGATTTCTTCAGCTGTTTCCTGTTTCTGTTTCACCATCTCCAAAAGTGTGTGGAGAGCACTGTTCTGCTGGACTGGAGGGTTAGCAACAGAAAACTCATGTTATTTGATGAAACAACAATTCAACAGGCTCTCTAAATCAGGGGTTTTCAACCTTTTAGGACATGCGCCCCCCGACGTTTGTCTAATTTCACTCGCGCCCCCCCAACATCCAACAACCCCCCCCCCTCGTATTATTGTAGTCACACCGAATTACTTTATTAACATCAACATAAAAGCAAATATCCATAAAAGCAGCGAACAATTTTTGTTAAAGTAGCCAAATTCCGCGGGAAAACCGCGGACTTGGCAACACTGAGTGTGACTGATACACGAGCCAACTCTGCTCTAACTGTCGACCACAGTCTATGCTGTCGACTAGCAGTGGGAGTCAGATTGTCCCCTAGTGGATGGCTAAAGATTTGTTAACTCGTATTTATAAATTCTCAAGGGAATGTCTCTGAATTAACTGATGCTCGCGCCCCCCTTGACAGGTGCTGGCGCCCCACAGGTGGAAAACCCCTGCTCTAAATGAATGTTCTGGAATCAATATGTTCAAAAAGCTCTGTTGACAGCATCAGTGGAATAATGATGATTACCACAGAAAGTGGAGACAATAATGACAACAAAAACTGCAGTCAAAGTAAGGCACAGAAATACATGTATTCCAGCTCCAAAAAGGGCAATTTAGACAACTTTTGTGACAGCATGCAAAGTTTCTCGGCACAACAGTTCTGCAAGGGAACACAAATGTTTTGCGACTTTACAAAATTCTGTTGGGGGAATGCACCAACAACTGGAAACTTAATACTTTTGCATGAGAACACAAAAGCATTGAAATGTAATTTCCTCTCATCTGATTTTTTTTCTATCACTATACAGAGCCACTAAGGGGATATCCCTTAGTGGCTCTGTATAGTGTAAAAAAAAAGATTATGCTACAAAAGCTGTCAATGGACCTTGACTTGTATTGAAGCCAAAACATTTCTTTTAGTTTAGCCTTAAAACATTAATTTCAGAATTTCAGCTTTAACAAACAGATTTTCTCACCTAAAAAACTGAAGATAAGAATGAGCGTAAGGAGGAACGCAATAATGGCTGCACATGCTAAAAAACAGTGCCGCCTGGTGGAAGTGCATATGTCATTCAGTCTGCTCACACAGGGCCTTCTGACTGGTTGACCTGTTTGATAGACAACTCCTTGATCTTGCATCTGAAGATTCCCATTGGAGGTAGGAGGTGGTGGACGGGGTGGCTGAACACCTGACCGTGAGAGGTGGGTTTGAGTTGTATAGAAATTAGAAAAGATTTTAAAGTCATACATACACTCTCTGACATGATGAAATACCTTTGCTGTGCTGTTCAGAGTGTGTGCGGTGCAGATCATTGATCGAGTCGACGGAATGGAGCTCAATCTCTGTCAGGTCTCGCTCGCTGACACGAACAAATGCTGGAGGAGGAGAAGGAGTGGACTTCATGATCACTCCCACCACTAACAAACAGACAGAGAATGAAAACCTGATTCAAAGATTCAAAAATCAATGTTTACTCCCCCTCATGTTGTTTTATGTACGACTGTCTTTCATAGAACACAAAATAAATTTTGCACTGCTCTCACTTTTCCATGCAATTACAATGAATGGCGACCAGAGCTTTTAAGCTTCAAAAACGGATAGAAAAAAACACCATGAAAATTGTCCATATGGCTTCTGCACTATATTGCAAATCTTTTAAAGTCATAGGATTACCTTAATGTGAGAAGCAGACTGAAATTTCAGTCACTGTAATTCCATGGGACAGAGCCAGGAAAACAATCTTTAGATTTTCACCTTTTGCATTTCCATTAAGAAAGAAAGTCCTACGGTAGATGGCATGAGGTGTTAATAAATGAAGGCAGTATTATACGTTTGAGTGAACTATTCCTCCTAACAAAAGCAAAAGACATCTATATATGTGAATAACTATTCCCATCCCCATTCATTAATGATTGGATGCTAAATTAAGGGCAAAGCCATTACATTTTACAGTTAAAGCACAGCTTTATTGATGTTAAATATACTGCATTTGCCTAAGTTTGAGGCTATAGTGCTGTTGCTTTTGAACAGCTATATTTATCTCAAACATTTTGCCAACTTTGATGCATGACTGAAACCAGTTTAAGTCTGGAAACAGCAGTGATGTTAAATGTTCCATGTTTGATATTGAATAAACATGGACATTCGTTTTTTTTGGTACTGTTCACAATACCACAAAAAACTATTCAGCCCCTTATATACTATATCAGATTAAGAGAGTAATCAGGAAAAAAACGGAACCCATGTGAATAGTCTCCGATGAATTTTGGCTGAATGGACTGAACAAAGATCAGTAGCAAATGATCTCATGTTTGATGTCTACTATGGTCCACATATGCACACTAACTCAAAACTGCAAAATATTTCTTAGTGGTAAACTGATGCCTGTGCGCGTGTAGACTTACCCTCAGATTGTGTTTTCATCAAACGCTAATAAACGTCTGTGGGTTGTTGTGTTGTTGACAAACACTAAAGAAAAGTCAGAGAAACCGCCGTGATTTGAATGGTCTGAAAAGATCAGTGTCCGTCTCGTCCGCCTGGCACCTCTACCCCTAAATACAGCTCAAAATCCCCAGACCCAAAATAGCTGCTGCCTCATGGACGAGAAGAACGGTTATTTATAGATTTGGGGCCAAACAATCATTCAGTTACATGTTGACATTTTGTATATTGTAATACAGGCATTAAAACTTTGATATTGCAAGAACATGTCTTATGCAGTTTAATAGTAAGAATGTGTTCTTATATCCATTATGTCTTAACTTGTCTTAGGGTAATATCAAAACTACAACATTAAAAAAATTACGTTTTCTTAAAGACTAAGCGAAATTGTGTTGTAGGCTAGCTAGCGTTGGGAACCGAGAACAGGTTCTTTTTCAGATCATGTGTTACATCGATTCCCGAACTAATGACTCGTATGAATCGGTTCCTTTAGGCGGATCAAAACTGCACACAGTGCGATCAGCGTAGTTCTCGAACGAATGACTCTTATGACGAATCACTCCGAAAAATGAACAAAGTGTTACTATATGTTCATGAAATTTTAATTAGTTTAGTTAGACTTGTTATATTAAATGACTAGTTAAAGATTCACATTATGAGTTTTGTTGTTTTCAGTTTTTTATATGAAAGAATAAAAAATACCTGGGGGATTATAATATATGGTTTATGTGTTTCTTTCAAGTAATCTCCAGGTAATAGGCTAAACAAAGTATCTGAATAATGCAGTGCTAACTGACGTAGCATTTATTACAATAGCCTATAGAAAATATAAAATATATTTTCTGCCTTATTTTGTGATGAAAATGGAAAAAAGTGTAGTATATGAACACATCATAAAATTGCCATTAGGAAAATACAGGAAAAATATTACAGAATACAAATTATTGGTAATTGCCCAGCAGTGTATTTGATTTCTTAATTAAAAGAAAGAGATAAGGAAAATACATAAAAACTTAACAATTAGACCTAAAAAAATAATAGTAATAAAAACCTAACAATTAGACCTAAAATAAATAAATAAATAAAGGTATTAATACATTTGACATTTCTGTTCCCTTACTTCTGAAATGATGGCTACACCCCTGGGGACAAGTATTGAAAGATACATTAAAAGGTCTCCTGTAAACACACCTTTGTAAGAATTGGTGTTTCTTTTGCTCTTTTCTGTTGAAATATGAAATCATATTATACATACAGACTACTGAGGGCAGTAAATGATAAAAATGGCATTTTTATAGCTTTGTTTTATTTTTATAAATACATTGCATTCATATGTACATTTTGATCAGTTCATGTAAATGCACCGATAAACATCTAAAAATGTATTGTGAATGTCACTTTGGATAAAAGCGTCTGCCAAATACATAAATGGAAAATCATTTTTACCCAAATATTTGTAACTCGAAAGTGCTAAAATAATTGTTATATTCTTCGCGAAACACATCCCTAATTTTTGTGCTGCGTGTCTAAAAGGAAAAGGTCTTATGCGCCATCGTTTACCGGAAGATTAATTCCGATAAAAGTGGCTGAGAACTGCTCAACAGCACGTGTACGTCAGGAATTCCAACTACATTTCCCAGGATTCTCTGAATTCACTTGCTTGTTTTACATTGTGAGAGTCGAGTCCAGACTAGCTGATTAGCTGAAAGTTGGCTTTTGAACAACTGGTGTGAAACTGAACGAAAAACAGCATGCTTGCTCGGGCTTTTGCAAACGGACTCTGTAAACGATTTCCAAGGGAAACGCGAGCTGTCGGTCTGGGGGCAACGGTGCGGCAGGACAGGCAAGCTTCCACAGAGGTATGCACTGAACTGGAATCATTAAAAACATCATAAGCTATGCAAACTTAAAATAAACCGAAGTCTTTGTAAAACCTTGACAAAAGTCTTATTTCCTGCAAAGTTCGAGAAGGGAAAGTTTGCACTTGGTGGTGCATTTCAGTATAATGCCCTGACTACTGAGGTGATTTTGAATGTAGTGCCGTTCTAGGGGTCTGTTATGGCTCAGGGTGTCGTTCATGCACGAGAAACACGGGCATCTGCTGTGCTGTCCGCTCGAGCTGCTGCGCTAATGAAGAGCACGAGAGCGTCCATCCGTAGAGTCCTCGCAGCTTGGACTGTGTGAATCACTGAAACACATAAGCTGCGGTCCGATTCATAGGGTCCCTACGCAGTGTTCACTGCTCCCAACACACTCACTGTTTGTAAAAGTTCACATAGCAAAATGTGTTCATTCGGAACACCCTGTAACGTCATCAAACGCAGACAACACTCGAGTCGCGCACATTGTTTGTCTATGAGCATTTTTAACTTAAAACATATGAATCTAAGCGAAATTGTATATTTTAGGTTAGGCAACTGCTCAGATTTTAGTTTTGTTTTTTACAAATCTTTTTTCTTTGTTCGTTCATTTTCAATGGTCCTGTGGTGTGACAAATTAATAAAAACTTATTGACATATTCCATGTAATCTCTCAATTAATATGATCTTATGAAAACCACATGTGTAATAATGTCAATAACAGTGATCAAATAAATTAGACTGAATCACTAGTGGTCACAAGGCACTGAATTCTCTCGAATTTTTAAACACACCAGTTTGAGCCTGTGATGTATTACCTAATGCAATAAAGATACGCGCACATTGTTTGTCTATGAGCATTTTTAACTTAAAACATATGAATCTAAGCGAAATTGTATATTTTAGGTTAGGCAACTGCTCAGATTTTAGTTTTGTTTTTTACAAATCTTTTTTCTTTGTTCGTTCATTTTCAATGGTCCTGTGGTGTGACAAATTAATAAAAACTTATTGACATATTCCATGTAATCTCTCAATTAATATGATCTTATGAAAACCACATGTGTAATAATGTCAATAACAGTGATCAAATAATTAGACTGAATCACTAGTGGTCACAAGGCACTGAATTCTCTCGAATTTTTAAACACACCAGTTTGAGCGTGTGATGTATTACCTAATGCAATAAAGATAAAGTCTCAAACACACACTTACTCTCTGTGGATCAGATAGTGTTTTAGACTGCTTAGTTGACTTTGGACTGGTTTCGTAAACTGTAAATAGCTAATGTGGCCTAATGTGAGGTAAAAGTGGGCAGACTCATAGGTAGGATCCAGCTCTTGAGGTCAAAGGTCACAGTATCTTAAGCTGATTTAATAACACACTACAAATTGTATACTATACTGTTACACTATAATAATTATCGTTATTATTAACTATATTATTAACTGTATTATATAAATATTAACTTTATCCAACAGGTATTATTTGCATTGATTTTTCTCTGTGTCAAGGTGGCGCTCAAGAAGACCCCGCTATATGAATTCCATAGGGCTCAGGGTGGTAAGATGGTGGAGTTTGCAGGATGGAGTATGCCTGTGCAGTACAAAGACAGTCACATTAACTCACACATGCACACACGCCAGCACTGCTCCATCTTCGACGTCAGTCACATGCTGCAGGTTAGTGTGTAGACATTTAATGTACTGTATGTAGACCAATTCATATGGTTTGTTTTGATCCAATACATGTTTTAAAAATTAAGTAAAAGATCAGCTTAAAATGCCACATCTGACCTACAATATTGGCTATTATTTTGAGACAGTAGTGTGAGGTGTGTCTAATGAATATTTGCCATTTTCTCCTCATAGACTAAAGTCTATGGTAGAGACAGAGTGAAGTTCATAGAGTCTCTGATTGTTGGAGACATTGCTGAACTAAAAGACAACCAGGTAAGACACGCACACACACACACACACGCACACACACACACAGAGTGTTCTAATTGCCAACTTTAGTAAAAAAAAAGAAAAAAAAAAGCAATCTTTAGTCATCCAAAAAAATTATTTTTTTTTTTCTCTAGGGCACTCTCTCCCTCTTCACAAACACTAAAGGAGGAATCATGGATGATCTGATAGTGACCAAGACAGACCAGGGTTACCTGTATGTTGTCTCCAATGCTGGCTGTGCGGACAAAGACTCTGCTCATATGCAGGCCAGTACAGTTAATGATCATTAAACATATTCATTTACTTGATTCTGATTGGTTGATCAGGGCATTCAAATATTTTTCTATAATGACTGTGAAAATATCTGCCTTGTTGGCAGAGGCTATTTACACTAGCTCCACCCACAAACGTGTGATAGGGCTGGTCAACATTATAAAAGACTGTTGTCAATTGTTAGCTCTAGTGGCGTAGATGGTAAAGCGTGTAACGTAGTCTTTTTTTGACACGATCGACCCGGGTTCGAATCCGCCTTTTGCCGAACTTCTTTTTCTCCCTTTTCAAATCTCATATCACATCGGAAAGACATTTATTTTCAATAAAAATGAAGGAAATAATTAAAAAGTTGAAAATAAAGTATCGGGTAGATTTAGGGTAGGTGTAGGGAGGGCCTTATTGTCCCAATAAGGTGGCATCAATTTAATAATTTGAATTAAAATTATAATTTACACGCAATACGTTATTATTGCATATTATTGCATTATAATGTACTATAATACTGAGGTGCAGATTATTGCCACTATTTGCAATTAGTATAAATAGCAGAAAATCCTGATATTTTAACATAGTGTAAATAGAATCTATCGCTATTTGCACTTGGTGTAAATAGCATATTGTTAAAAATACTGCTATTTTCACTTAGTGTAAATAGAATCCATTGCTATTTGCACTTAGTGTAAATAGCATCCATCACTATTTGCGCTTAGTGTAAATAGCATCTATCGCTAAGAAAATATGCTATTTTCACTTAGTGCAAATAGCATCTAATTGCTATTTACCAAAATATTAACTCCCTTAAACACCACAAGGGGGCGTCAAAATTCCTTAACGTTTTTCATTTCCATTTTTTTCTGATTTTTTAATGCAGTCAGTCTGTTTATAATTTTTATTTGTATATATTTATTTGCTTACACATGTGTTTGCTCAGATGTATGTGTGTTTGTTTGTAGGCCAGACTGCAGGAGTTTAAAGCAGCAGGTCATGATGTAGATTTGGAGTTCATGGACGAAAGTCTTATTGCTCTGCAGGGTAAGTCATGGGTCTGTGGTATTCTTGCATTGTAATACTGCCCACATTCCTGTTTTATATTTTTAGAATACATTGGTGTATGCGTGTTATTTAAATGCATTATGTACATTTTTGGGGCATTCGATTCAGCATTGTTTATATGTTTATTCATGTTGAATGCAGGCCCATCAATGGCCCAGGTTCTGCAGAAAGGTGTGGGTGATGACCTCAGGAAGCTGACCTTTATGACCAGTGTTTTGACCCCAGTGTTTGGCATTCAGGGCTGCAGGGTCACACGCTGCGGATATACAGGGGAGGATGGAGTTGAGGTGGGTGTGATCTCCATCTGACTGTATGACAACTATACTGAAATTATTTGCTATTGTTCAAAAGTTTGAGGTTTTTAAATAAATGAATACTTTTATTTAACAAAGATGCATTCAACTTGTCAAAAGTGACAGTAAAGACATTTATAATGTTACAAAAGATTTCTATTTCAAATGAATGCTGTTTGTTTAAAGTTTATTCATCAAAAAAAAAAAAAAATCTATCATGGTTTCCACAAAAATATTAACCAGCTCAACTGTTTTCAACACTGATAATAAAAGTAAATGTTTCTTGAGCCCCAAATCAGCATATTAGAATGATTTCTGAAGGATCATATGACACTGAAGACTAGAATAATTCAGCTTTGCCACCACAGGAATAAATAGAAAACAGTTATTTTAAATTGTAATAATTATTCACAATATTACTGTTTTTACTGTATTTTGATCAAATAAATGCAGCCTTGGTGATTATAAGAGACTTTCTTTTAAAAATATTAAAAATCTTTTGTGTCTAAACTTTTGTGTCTCATGACTATTAGAAATTATTAGAGGCACAAATCTCATTTTTATTTACAGTGTAAGAACTGTTAGAAATGTCTGATAGATTAATCTATTATCTAATAACAAAATTAACTAAACTAGCTAGTTTTAAACACTTTCGTTTTGGGGGGGTTGGTTATTGTTTGTTTTTTGGCATGTCTGTAAAGTTTATGTTCTTGTATTTTCTTTATTTATGATTTATTCAGATATCAGTACCAAGTGGAGACGTTGTCTCACTGACTGAAAAGTTGTTAGCCGATAGTGAGGTGAAACTCGCTGGTCTCGGTGCCAGAAACAGTCTCAGGCTGGAGGCGGGACTTTGTCTCTATGGCAACGACATTGATGAGACCACCACACCTGTGGAAGCAAGTCTTGTTTGGACTATAGGTGCGTCAAGACTTTTATTATCATATCCCATGCATGTTTATTTAATGCTAATGTATTTGTGTGTGTGTTAAGGTAAGCGCCGTCGACAGGCACGAGATTTTCCCGGTGCTGACATCATTGTTCCACAAATAAAGGCAAAGACTCAGAGAAAGAGAGTGGGACTGATCTCCACTGGACCACCTGTCAGACAGCACACACCAATCCTGTCATCTGACGGCAGGGTTATAGGTAACAAACGCATTTGTGTTTAAAGGAATGGTTCAAAATCATCATCATTTATTCACCGTCATGTCATTCTGAACCTGTATGATTTGCTTTCCCGCCCACATTATTTTAGGTGAGGTCACCAGTGGATGCCCCTCCCCCTGCCTCAAACAAAATGTTGCCATGGGCTACGTGGAAGCTGGCTTCAGTAAAGTGGGCACATCAATCCAGGTGGAAGTGAGGAAGAAAGCAGTGCCAGCAGTGGTCAGCAAGATGCCATTCGTGCCCACCAAGTACTACATGGGCCAGTAGACCTACTGATCATAAAACCATCTGTGTTTACAAGAGGGTCTGTTGAAGACCTGTCTGGTAGTATTTAGCAGTGGAGGTCACTGCCACTGGATTGCCGCTGGAATGGAGACCAACATTAGAGATTACGCAAAGCCTGAGACACACGCCAACATTGAGCATTCCATAATGCAAACTATAAACACAAACATAATTTACTTCCATTTAAATTACATTCCAGGACATTCTGTAATAATTGCACAACATTTTGGCCACTTCACTAGAAATTCAAATCAAATGGAATTTCAGGATGTGGGAAAGGACCACTTGCTGTTTCTGTGTGCGTGTGTGTCTAAACATAGAGCACTTAAAATGTTAGTTTGAGTGTGGGAAGGTTACATCTGTTTTAAAGACTACTGACTAAGATTCCTTTAAGTTTGCCACACATCTGGCTCATTTTACGCCAGTGTACTGTTTTAGTGTCATAGCTTTATGATGTACAATGATTAAATAATTAACAAAGCCAATCTGAATGAGATAAACTATATTAGAAAAGTGCCTAATTTATTTGAGTAGGCTGTTATGCTGTAGTATTATTAATGTCATTAACTTTAGACCACATCACTCTGAAGTCTTTCGATTTTCGAACATTTCCATTTTTGTTTCTTTTTGGAATGTGGTAGGATAATTAAATTTATTCTATATAATTTTATAAACTTTTACTTGATTGGTTGCCCCCCACCTCATCCTCCCCCTCTTTATATATATATATATATATGAGATGAGTAATAATAGTTTGGTTAGTTAATAAGTAGTAAAAAGTATTGTTATTATGAATAATTAACTTGTTAAAGAGTGAATGGGTTTTATAAACGGTGTTGATAAACGGACCACCACATGTACCACCGTCTCACTTAATGAGAATTACTAGCAACATAAAACCATAAGAGTCACGGTATACTGACAGTTCTGTTAAGCGTCCTTATTGTTTTCATACAGGAAAGTTTATAAAGATGTTAGTTTTTTGCAGAATGTGCAATCCAAACATTTCTGAATGGCTGATCATTGTGGGAACTGTATTTCTCTATTTTACGTCTCTCGCAGAGGCCCTGGGTTGGAATAATACAGCGAACTACATTACCCATAGTGCTCTGCTGTTGTGTGAGGCGTAGAGGAGGAGCGTGCCGGGTGTGCAGGCTGTTACCGTGGGAAGATGGTGGAAGCTGGAGCCGCAACGTGCACGATCCTCCGTCCTAAACATTTCCAAAAACATTTACCATCACAACCTGGCATTAGATATCGGTTACCTGGGGACAACCATAGATAATAAATACTAAAACTAAGACTGAATTCTAAGTATTTTGATTTCGGTGTGAGGCGCACCTTACATTGGTGGTGCCTAAAGCGTGGGGCCAAACTGCACAGATCACAGTATTTTGATACTCTGGGAAGGATTTTTCGGCTGGGATTGTTGATAAACTGTTGACTGACTACAGCCTCTTGTTCTCTATATTCTGTCTCCTTTGGGCTTCGGTGTTTTGGAGCGGCTGTCAGAATGCCACGAAGCAAAAAGGGGAAACGCGGTGGAAACAGTTCAAGTAAGGGTGAGTTTAACACCTCCTGCTGTCACAGACAGAATAAACATGGTCACACGACAAAATATCACCAAGCAATATTTTCGTGATTATTTCCAGCAACATATCTTTAAAACAAGATCAGTGTACTTGCATAATTGCAAATACTTGTTTTCATAACATTTGTCGGTACGTGGAACTATTGTTTTTAAAACACTGGTAAAGTATGTTTTACATAAAACCTCACAAAATTATCGCATATTTATGCTAAAACAATCAAGTAATGTAACATTTAAAATACGACTACATTGTTTGGGTGACAAATTGCCCAGCTGGAAACTGAGTCCCCCCCCTATTTATTTCCTTTACGATTTTAAGCAAAAAAAGATTGAAAATTGATGAGGCATATTCTTTATAACTCAGTGTGGTTTGTTTTAATGCATTACAGCTTTTATTTGGTCTTGATGTGGCTGCAACCATTTCAGCACCATTTACAGTGTTATTTCAAGCGCCAGTCATCTAAAAATTGTAATTGTGCATAACAAGCAAAATATTTAACAATGACTATTTTAGAAACCGTGTTTGCCTTTTACCTCAGCAGTAAGGATAGAAGCAAAGTGATTGACTGTCAGGGTTATTCCGTCTGCAGCATGACAGGTGAAGCTCATGCCTGCTCGTGTAGCCTATATTTAGCCCAAGTATCACGGAGCCGCGAAAACCGGGCCTTCCCGGACTAACTTACTCACGCGAGCTGTAATATTAGATAAGTTTTTGATTAAAATTTCAACTCTTAGTTTCAATGCAAAGACTGATAAGTTCACGAGCAGAGCCGCGTCACATGCAGTGTGGCAAAATGCAAGCATGGCAAAAAACAAACAAAAAACCCCCTAGGGATGGGCATTTTTCTAAAATATTGTATTCGAACATTTGGGCTCATGAAAACGAATATTCAAATATTCGTTTATTTAAATTACGTTTAATGAGAAATACATAATTTTTTAATAGTTAAGCTTTTGTCACCATTTACGAACAAGCTTATAAGCATTATACAAAACAATGTTCTACAACAACCTTATGTTATGTCTCAAGGTTTTCTTTCAGTTGAAAACGTGTGTAAACAATATATGTATATAAAGAACAAAAGCATTCAAGTCCAAGCAGAGCAAACGGAAAAAAATAAAGCAGACCATGCCAATTACAGTACAGAAATTACATACACTCAAGTCGGCCTATGTTTATCCTGTTTATGTTGTTTCACATGTTGAGAAAAACAATAATATCCACATGTTCGGGTGAAAGCTGGCTCCTTGAATAAGAACGCGCGCTGACACAGACATTCCAGAGACACAAAGATAACGGTGTGCTAGCAAAGTTTCTTACAGCGCTTTGTGGTTTCTGTTCTTAAACCACTCTCCCTCGAGGAATCTTAAAGGGGTCATATGATGCCCATTTTCTACAAGTTGATATGATTCTTAATTTGAGAAAGGGGTAAAGATTTTAGTAGATTAAAAAAAAAACACGGTGGATTTTTATCACTATAGGGTGGTTGTGTACACAAACTGCCAACACACATTTAAGTTCAAACAACTTGTAAAAGTGCATGTAGCATCCTATGACCCCTTTAAAGGAAGCATATGTCTCAAGATCATTTGGCTATCAGATAAGCTCTCTTGGCTCACTCGGGGCATAGCTGGCTGCGCTTACCTGCAGTCGTGAATGCAGTGATGGACTTTTGTATTTTCTTTATTTATGATTTATTCAGATCTCAGTACCAAGTGGAGACGTTGTCTCACTGACTGAAATAGTGTATTTATTTTTCAAATAATAATTACAGATTGAATATTCGACTCTGTGCACACCCCTAAAAACTGGTCTATTTTGTGACAGGACTGACAGTGAGTGCTGAAGAGTTATTTCTCTGAATGACAAATCTTATTGAACTCATGTGTGAATGTCCTACTGAAAAAAAGCTTAAACCAGCCTACGATGGTTTGCTGGTCTTAGCTGGTTTCAGGTGGTTTCACAACTGCTATAAAATTGTTGTATGTAGCTAGTTGGTGGACAAGGTGAATTTCCATTTTGACCAGTTTAAATATGACCAAAACCAGCAAACTAGACCAGTAAAACCAGATTAGGAGACCAGCAAGGTTATACATTTGAAAGATTTGAGAAGTAATTTGAGGCAACTTCAGAGTGCAAGAGTAGCAGTTTTTGTCATTTGGCCTTGTCCTACAGTTAAATGTTTGAAATGTCAAACTGATCTCAGATAAGACCTGGTTTAATCTCTCTCTTTCTCCTGTTCACTGTGAGCAGGCTCACTTCGACAGGAAGTGCTTCAGCTGCAGTTGTCAAAGACTGCCCTGTCACGTGCAGGTAGCATGACCTGATCTTGATTGTGACCTCATGCCTCTCACCCCATTAATGTTTAATAAGCTGCATGTGTATATCCATTCATGTGTATTTGTTTACATCTTCTCTCATTTGTCTAATGCCTTTCATGACTTGAGAACCAAAATGCCCCAGAAGCATCTATCACTTCTGCTTTCTTGTGAAAGCAGACTTCTAGACCAGTGTTTCCTAACATTTTTTTGGTCAAAAGTACATCCACAGCCCCATCAGTAAAGGTCAACTACCTCTTCATTGGTACAAACCAGAAACGTGTTCCTTTTGACTCCTATTATACTGGAAATCATTATTCATTATCACGATTAGAGGCTTTTATTGTCTCACCAAGCAGCTGTTTCTCTGAGGCAGCTAAAGTTGTCTTTCATTGGTCTTTGAGCAATCATAGTGAAACATGGATGTTTAACAAAAGTAGTCCTTTGACCTTTTTATGATGGAATGTAAATGCTAAAGTCCCCCCTGCTGCTTGGGAATCACATGTGTCCAGTCTGTTGCAGGTTCAGCTCCACTGAGCGATGAAGCTTCTGGAAAGTACTGGAACTCAAGTCAAAATATTTGGACTAACTGTTTCTATCGACATTTTGACTCTGCAAAGTCTGAGGATACTGTGGATTGTCTCAGATTTGTTTTTCATAAATTCCCAACGATTCCAGACTCATCCTCCACATGGTATTCATCCTCTGCTGAATGCACTGCTGCTTCCCATCTCATCCCTGCTGATATGTCTTGTTATGCTGATGCATGTATTGGTACATCAGTTAGACTGCCATTTGAAAGTCTATTGGAATGTCGCATTCATATTGATGAGATATTGATGAACTCCTAGTTTGAGGCCTTTTGTTTAAGTTTAAGTTCTAAAACAGTCTTCTGACTTTATTCTCAGTGTGTTTTTGCTTAAATCTGCATATCAGTGAACCAGTTGATTGAAGCTTTTTTTAATTTATATTTATTTAAACTGCTTTTGAAATTGATCAAAATTTTGTGTGCTTAATATTTTTTCTTTTTAAGAAATGTTTCTTGAGCACCAAATCAGCATTTTAGAATGATTTCTGAAGGATCATGTGACACTGAAGACTGGAGTAATGACTGCAGAGAATTCAGCTTTACCGTCACAGGAGTAAATTAAAAATATGTATTACAATAGAAAACTCATTTTAAGTTTTAATATTATTTTACAGTATTACTGTTTGTACTGTATTTGTGATCTAATAATATGCGCCTTGGTGCGCATAAGACTTATTTAAAAACAAAATAAATCCGATCCTAAACATTTTAACAGTAGTGTGTTATGTACATTAAGCAGACCAACTTACAAATGAGTCACATCTTTACTAAAATCCTCTCAAGGAAATTAGACTGATCAAGTTAAATCATGATTAAATCAAACTCATTGATTAAATCAAACATCATTTTAGGCAATATCTAGTAAGGCTGTTTGAAACACAAATAAATATAGTGTAATGGTTTCAATATGTTTGATTGAATCTTTTCAAGAGTATGAACTGCATGACCTATCTTTTAGAGATTAACCTGATCACTGAAGATCATGATCCAGAGTGGATCAGTGCAGAGAGACAGTTTGATTTAAAGAGGATAGAGTCTCAGAGGATATTTCTCCACTTTAATCTGTCTTCCACGATTTAATTATCAAAATTGTTTTTTTTCAGTACATTTTTAATTTTAAAACACGCCATTTACAAATCCTCTTGTTTCTAAGACTGACACTTTCATGTTAAACTAAAGGTCTGCTGGTACCCCAATGGGAAACAGGTGGACCTTTGTGTGTTTGTGTGTATATGTGTGTTTGAGAGAGGCCACACTGAACTTTGACCCAAATCAGACCTCTGTTTCTGAGTTGTTGGTTTGCTATGAAGTGTGTGAGAGTGAAAGAGGTTTTAATTAGGTTTTCTGTATAGTCGGACTGTTCACACTTTATGTTAAAGTTAATGGGACGCTCTTTATAGATTATTAAAACTAACAGACTGGTTTTGCAATCCTACATGTGTGTTTGTTTTATCTGAGCACTGAAGTGAATCTTCTGGCTTTGTCCAAGCAGAGGGTTTAGGTATATGAACTTTGTGGACAGTTAAAACACACATGATCACACTATGACACACCCATCCACCTAACCTATGATCATTCCCATCTTTCATTGAATTAAACCCTTAAACTAATGTTCACTGTGTATCTCTTCATCATGTCTCTCTCTCACTGTTTTAGGGAGAAATGGGGCGAGAGGCGAGTCTGGTGTGAGTGATGATGATTTAGCGTCGGATGTTCTCAGTCACTACAGCAGCGCCAGTGAGAGCGCGTCAGTCATAGAGGAGGGCACAGGTACCCAGAGACATGCAAATCACATCATACATGCACAAACATTAGCACAAATATATATTGCCAGTATACAAGTGCAAAAAAAAAAACCATCCACACACTGACTCTGTGCTGTGCAGGTGAGGTGGTAGATGAACAAACTGCTCAGGAAGAAACAGAAGACAAACTGAAGCAATGCATCGACAATCTGATGGAAAAAAGGTATCAATATGCTGACACAACAGTGAGGAATGCAAGCACACACAGTTACTGAAAACTAAATGAGCTTTGCAGCTGTTTCACGCTTATCTTTTATGTGTTTTTCAGTGCTAAGACCCGTCTGGCTGCACTAGAAAGTCTGCGCTTGGGGTTTTCTTCCAGAGTTCTGTATGAGTTCCTGTTAGAGAGACGTTTCACCATCAGTGACTGTCTGGAAAGGAGCTTGAGGAAAGGTGTGAATTAGGACTTTTTGTGGAATTTTTGTGTTCACACATTGTCAAAGTTCAAGTTAAAGTCAATGGGAAACTCTTTAGATTATTAAAACTAAGGGCACAGAGACCGGTTTTGCAATCCTACATGTGTGTTTGTTTTCTACGAGTACTGAAGTGAATCGTCTGGCTTTATAGAGAGAGAGAGAGAGAGAGAGATAGTTATCAATTGTTAGTTACCTTTTTAAGATAAGTAAACCATACCTGTGAGAAACAAAGTACAAGCACTGAAAGGATAAAAGGTATTTATATTATATTTTATATTATTATATTATATATTTTTTATTTTTCCTTTTTTCACTTTCTTATAGTGCTTGTACTTAGTTTCTTACATATGTGTTATTCACAAAAGATAACTATTTATATAATTAAAACGATAATTAAAATGAAAAAATAAAAAGTAAGAAAGGCAAAAAATAACAAAACATGAGTTTTGATCTAAAGACAGACTAGTCTTTAAAACTATCAAAAAACTACCACTCTTCATTCATAAGCAAACTGTAAATTTATCATCTATAAAGGATAAGAAATAAAACTTGATTGAGGGCAGTGGGCTGGAAGTAAATGTTGCATTATATCCAATTATTTTATATTAAAGGGGTCATATGATGCGATTTCAATTTTTCCTTTCTCTTTGGAGTGTTACAAGCTCTTGGTGCATAAAGAAGATCTGTAAAGTTGCAAAGACTAAAGTCTTAAATCCAAAGAGATATTCTTTATAAAAGTTAAGAGTCAACCACGCCTACCTAAAACGGCTCGTTCTAACACGCCCCCACATGTCTATGTCATGATGTGGGAAGATTTGCATAACGCCGCCCAAATGTTCACGCAAAGAAAGAAGGCTTAACTTTTATTGTCGCTGTAGTATTGTTGTTGCCATCGCCGCCATGTCGTAAAGATGCTGTGTTTCGTTGTGAAAGCGAAACTACTTTGTTTGGCCTTCCAAAAGAGGACGATATCTGCTTCGTCATGCCTAGTGCTGATCCGTGCTGGTCGCTGAGGAAATACATCAACTTCGCGCTGTGGATCGGCTTTCACCGTGGATGAAGCGGAGTCCAGCCCAGGGTCGTCACATGTGGTTGCCGCAAGCCCGCCGGCCACTCCTTCGTCGAATTCGCCAGCCACCGCTCACTCAAGGCCGCCGTGTGTGACGATGTGTTTCGTTGTGAAAGCGAAACTAGAAACAATAATGTACAGTATGTGGAAAATAATGTGTTTTTTGAACCTTAAACCGCATAAACACATTTCATTACACCAAATACACAAAATAATGTTCTTTTTAGCAACATCATATGACCCCTTTAAAATGTAATATTTTATTATTTTTTATATTTTACTTAAATTTTTTTTTATTATATGAAAATTCACTTATTTTATTTTTTATAATATGTAGAGAAATCCCAGGCTGCACTTGGATGTAGACATGTTATCTGTGGTTTCTCTTTGCAAATAAACTGGGTTTACTAACTTGATAAAGTGTCTTTTATCTGTAGGTGGAGGAGAGGAGCAGGCCGCTGCTGCTACAGTGTGCGCTCTCTTGTGCATGCAGCTCGGGGGTGGAGTTGAAGGTGAGGAGGGCTTCAAGATGCTCCGCCCCATCCTCAGCTCCATCTTGATTGACAGTTGTGCCAGCCTGTCAGCTCGACAGAATGTGAGTTGATGCCTCAATATACGTCTATAAACTTTTATTTGTTCGATTACATAAACATTTAAAATGGGATTGTTTACTTATATCTCCACCTTTTGTCAGTGCGCTCGAGCTCTGGGTATGTGCTGCTACGTGTCTGCCTCAGATGATGCAGAGGTATGATCAGATCTTGTAAAATGCATATGAATATTTATAGATCTGCATGTTTGTATCATCTATCAAGTATCATCTGTCTTTTCCTCCTGTCTTTTTCAGGACCTGCTAAAATCTCTTGGTCATTTGGAGAATGTGTTTATGGGTGCATATCCCCTGGGTGATGGCACTCTGCCCTCTGTCAAAGCCGGGACCCCTGCACTCCACAGTGCCGCCCTGCAGTCGTGGGCTCTGCTCTGCACCCTCTGCCCTGCGTCACGCATTAACACCATTCTCAACCAGTGAGTTTGAATCGCAAGAAAACACATCTTTGCACAAACTCAAACTCTACCAAAAACTCACTGCACCTAAAAAAAAAAGTACAGAAAGTGTAGGTGCATAAGCCACAATAGTCCAAATAGCCAAAAAGATGCAAAAAAAGGGTCTGCACACTATAAAGGTGATAAAGGACAACAAAAAAGCAAATGCAAGATAAACACACATTTACTGAGGAACGGCCAATACTTGTTTTGATAATGTTTGGACCCACAAATCTACCCATACCTCCTTGCTGAACTTTAGTAACAAAAAGAACTTAAACAACAACAAAAAAAAACTACTTTTTCTATGCTCTCACTATTTTTTTTATATCCTTCCTTGTTCTAGCTTATACTATTGTACTATAACTTTAAATTGCCAGCACCTCTCGTGGTATTGCATCCTTAAAATGAGTCACTTTTTTATTTCTCATTTGTAAGTCGCTTTTATAATTTTATAATTTGGCACTGAAGAATGTCATGTGGTTATTTCACATTTGATTTTTTCTTGTCTTTTTCACCCTTATAGTGAATGGGCTTGCAACTTTTTGCCTTTGTTGTTACAAAGTCACAATCCAAAACAGTGCTGATATCTAAGCCACAGTGAATACAGAAGACATTATAATATTTTATGTATTGCTTTCATCAGGGTGAAAAAAAAAGCCATGTGACAGACAACACCCAGATTGAATAGATAGACTTATTTGTCTGTAAAATGATCTTTGTCTTTGTCTGTCTTTTAGCCACTTGCCACATCTACATGCGTGTTTAGAAAGCAGTGAGGTGAACTTCAGGATTGCTGTGGGAGAGACCATCGCTCTGCTGTATGAACTGGGACGGGACATCGATCAGGTGTGTGTTGTGTAAGGGTGAATAAGTTTGCATGTCAGGAAGATGGCAGTGTACATAATGTGTTTTGTGTTTCAGGAGTTTGAGTATGAGGACTGCGATGCATTGTGTGACAGTCTAAAGAGCCTAGCGACTGATGGAAATAAACATCGCGCTAAAAATGACCGCAGGAAACAGCGCTCAATCTTCAGAGAGGTGCTGCACTACATTGAGGTGAAAGGAGAACCACAACTCATGCCTTTTTATTTTTAAATAACATGTCATTAAAATACATCCAAATATTTTATAGCAACTTTGCATGCAGGGCTAATAAGCCAAGTTGATCCAGGACTGTCTTAGATGGTTATGGTTTTAAGATTTACCGACATCAGGCCAAACATTCCTTCCTATTTTCAGAATGAAGATTTCACAGAGGAGAAGATCCAGTTTGGGATTGAGGCCATCTACATTGATGGCTGGATGCGCCGCAAGATTTATGATGCCTTTAAGGAAGTGCTCGAGTCTGGAGTCAGACACCACCTACAGGTGAGGAGGACCAATTGCAGCTCACTGTTGGCATCATGCTTGGCATAAATAACACTGTGTAGTACTAGAGAAAAATGTTGATTAAAATATTTCTAAATGAATCAATATTGAATGAAATCTGAATTGAACTGCAAGCTTCTGATTCTAATTAAAACAAATCAGAAATGCAGTGCTTTGTAGTGAAAGTTTCTGTATATACTGTAGTAAGTTTTGGAATTTCAAGAGCTGAATGTTCAGGGATCTTTCTTTATTTAACCAATGATTTAATGTGATGTTTGTGATTTACTGGTTAAGGGTTTTAAAAGTTTTTCACTCTTAATTTCTACTCTAACACAATTTACAGCTTGTCATTACTAGAAAAATGTATATTCTTTATAAAATACCTATGGCATTTTAAAATTCTGTTAATTTTCGTGACATTTTCAGGACTACAAATCACATTTATTCATAATTAGGCTACCTCATATATCAAGGTTTTTGTAGACCATTTGTAGAGTTTTTTGTTTTTGTAACTTATTTTAATGCTTTTTTTTTAGCTTGTTTTAAATCATTTAAAGTCATCTTGAGGCTCCCATTGAGGTTTCTTGAGCTCCCCCATGCAGGCCCCAACCCCATGTTTGAGAACCACTGCTCTGTAAGGTTTGTTATAATGAGTTTTTGTGTCTGTTTGTGTAGTTTAATCCTTTATTAAGGGATATTTTTGGACTCGGACCTCCTCTCATCCTGGATGCGTCTGTCAAAGCCAGCAGGATCTCCCGCACAGAGAGGGTAATCTTGAACCTTTTCGCTTATAATAAATAACGAAAGGTGACACTGACATAACAAGAAGTCTTAGTTTGCAGAGTGAAGTCAGATTCAATTGATTTCGGGAGCTGTCTGCCAAAAAATGCAAATGAAATCAGCACTATTTTTTCGTTAAGGTTTTGTGTGTATATTTATGCAACTTCGGTTCGTCTCTTCACAGCATCTGTTTAACTCTGCTGCATTCAAAGCTCGGACTAAATTAAGGAACAAAGTGAGGGACAAACGTGCCGACGTGATGTGAGGATGAAGGCGACAAAGAGAGAAACACTACATCCTTAAAATCCCCTCGGCTCACTTGAAATTATAGTTTGACATACTGCCAAGCCAGAGACTTGACAATGGACATGTGTGACTGTCTGAGTGTGAAAGGCTGGGTGTGTGCACGTGTGTATGCGGTGTTGTGTTTTTATTTAACATCACAGTGTGAAAGCTAGGAATCCTACAATTAAACAAACATGAAATATTGTATCTTTATAACAACCTCTTGTAAGGCTGTATTCAGCTTTTCTATTGAAACCTGTTTTACCTCCTCAAGTGTTTTTGGGACAAAAGAGAATTTTTATCATTGAAACATTAACTTTTTACAGCTCTGCTACAAACAAAGAGGCCAAGAAAACGTAATTTTTTGTAGCTTTTCTACATGCATTTATATAAATGGATTATGCATTCTGATGATGCAAACAAATGAAAATTCATCTTTGACTGCAGGTTGCCAGAGTTAGTGTAGACCGTTTTGTTAAACCTCTCTCACTGCCACTAAATAAACCATATTTCACATCTTAATTCTACTCATCTTCTGAAAAGGGTTTTCAGAAGATGAGTAGAATTAAGATGTGAAACGTTGTTGTTGTTTTATTTTTATTTTTTTGGCTCAGTGTGATGCAGTCAAATAAGGTTCTTGCATCATTGTACCCTCACCACAAGCTCATGTCTGCCCATTTAGATCATGTTTTCAACATTTCTTTTGAATTTCTTTCTAAATATCAAAAACCAGCATGTCATAAGTTTTCTTTGAAGCAAAAGTACTGTATGCAGCAGCAGGATTTTGGAAGAGAAAACACAAAATAAATTATGTAATTATCCTTAACAGTGTTGGAAGTCTTTTTGACAGGCGCAGATGTATTTGTAGTAAGAGAAAAAAAATTGTGAAGAAAGTGTGTGATGACTAGAATTGCTCTACAAATCTTATCAGCCTGGGTATTTAATTACATATCATTAAAATGTGTTGTTTGATACAGTCAGTTTAAACATTTACGTTTATTGTTCGTTTGCTATTATATTTCATTATAAGTAACTATCATTAGGATCATGCACATGTTTTGTAACTCTTATTTTGAAAAGCTTTTTACGCGTCTCCTTTCATGGGTACTCTCGCGAGAGTTTAGACCTAACAGACTCGTAACAAGTTTGGCTAAAATGTTCAGCCATACAAGTCGACATACAAAGGTGAATTATAACATTTCTGCATACTTGGCAATAAAGGTAGATCTATCAACTCATATTGTGTCACGAATGAACAAGCAAGGTTACCAAAATACAGAGTTTATAACGCTACAGGTGAGTGACCGTTTGATGCAGCGGCAAGACGCGACCTGCTGCAGACCTGCAAACCGGCCCGTGGCTGGAGGAGTCCGTCAATAGATCAGCTGTTATTTCAGAGCGTTTCTTTTGTAATGGATTCATTGTCCCTCCCCCGTATTATATTTTGGCCATATAATGACATCAATTTTGCTTTAAATTACACTGTAAGATTTTGACATTGAAATTCTTTTTTTTTTTTTTAGGAAAAAAGTTTATCACTTGTCTGAAATGCCCATCATCAGGAGACACATCAAGGTGTTTTAAGGTGTTAATGTTTTTTCCTTTGTATTTCATAGCTACACAACTATTTTGCGAGGAGAGGAGCAGCCAGCTCTCCAGAAATGTAAGGACTGTTGTTCCTTGTACCACTGTCCTTTCTGTGGGCCTGAGATGTTCAAACCCACCATCTAAAGCAAATGTTTGAAACATTTACTGGGTCACAGAAGAAGAGCAATACGGCACAAGGGCAAGTACTAAATAATGCGTTTAAGAAATTACAAGCATTTAAATGTATATATTTTACTTGAAATGAAGTCATAGGAATAAATTAATATTCTGTTCCTTCAAGTATTAAAATCTACTGAAGCATAGAATTTTATATAAGCATAAAGAAATCTTAGTATTACATGGATCTCTAACGGAGGACTCTTTTGCTTTTTACTAATTTTTTTCACTAGAGTTCTTCATTTTTAAATCATTTAAAGTGTGGTTTTATGGTGTATTCACTATTTACTTAGTTTAGTTATATGAAGACTTCATGGTGCTTGCTTCTCAACTCTCTTTCTCTGTAGGTTGGAGTCAGTGTGATTTGGAGAGAGGGGTGAAGCTGTGTTTCTCTCAGAGATGGACTCTACTGTGTAAACATGACAAAATTGAGCATGTGATGCCGTCTGGAACAAGCTTGCATATAGAGAAAGAGTAAGAGATATATAAACAATATGCAGATATTCATGAATCCTCAAGAGATAAAAAGAAAGACTACAAGTAAACAACTCGGAGGAAGCAGGACGTCAGTACTTGGAGGTAATGGCTAATGTCTTGGATTTTTAAATACTGAATTATTAACGTATGATTCTTAATCCTCTTTTTTCATTTGGTAGGTTTGGGGCCAAAATGGTCTGGAGAAACGTTTGGACCTTCCAGCTCTAAATAAACATGGAAAAGTGTACGAAGATGGTAAGAAATTGTGGCTCTTTTTTTAAAGTATCGTTTCAGGCACCGTTTAGGCACCGGTACCATTTTAAAAGTATCGATTTGGCACCGGTATCGTAAGAAACCCAATCGATATGAACCCAACTCTAACCATTAGTAGAATTGGTAGTTATTAGTCCTTATTTTAATGCTTTTTTTTGGGCTTGTTTTATATCGTTTATATCAAGTCATCTTGAGGCTCCGGCCTCATGTTTGAGAACCACTGTTCTGCAGTGTTTGTTATGAGTTTTTGTCTGTTTTTTGTAGTTTAATCCTTTGTTGAGGGATATTTTTGGACTTGGACCTCCTCTCATCCTGGATGCGTCTGTCAAAGCAAGCAGGATCTCCCGCACAGAGAGGGTAATCTTGAACCTTTCGCTTATAAATGTAATAAATAACGAACAGTGACACTGACATGACGAGAAGTCTTATTTTGCAGCGTGAAGTCAGATTCAACTGATTTTGTAAACGGTGCTTATTTAATTTGCATTTTTTTGGCAGACAGTTTCATTCACTAAGGTTTTGTGTGCATATTTATATAACTTTGGTTTGTCTCTTCACAGCATCTGTTTAACTCTGCTGCATTCAAAGCCCGGACTAAATTAAGGAACAAAGTGAGGGACAAACGTGCCGACGTGATGTGAGGATGAAGGCGACAAAGAGAGAAACACTACATCCTTAAAATCCCCTCGGCTCACTTGAAATTATAGTTTGACATACTGCCAAGCCAGAGACTTGACAATGGACATGTGTGACTGTCTGAGTGTGAAAGGCTGGGTGTGTGCACGTGTGTATGCGGTGTTGTGTTTTTATTTAACATCACAGTGTGAAAGCTAGGAATCCTACAATTAAACAAACATGAAATATTGTATCTTTATAACAACCTCTTGTAAGGCTGTATTCAGCTTTTCTATTGAAACCTGTTTTACCTCCTCAAGTGTTTTTGGGACAAAAGAGAATTTTTATCATTGAAACATTAACTTTTTACAGCTCTGCTACAAACAAAGAGGCCAAGAAAACGTAATTTTTTGTAGCTTTTCTACATGCATTTATATAAATGGATTATGCATTCTGATGATGCAAACAAATGAAAATTCATCTTTGACTGCAGGTTGCCAGAGTTAGTGTAGACCGTTTTGTTAAACCTCTCTCACTGCCACTAAATAAACCATATTTCACATCTTAATTCTACTCATCTTCTGAAAAGGGTTTTCAGAAGATGAGTAGAATTAAGATGTGAAACGTTGTTGTTGTTTTATTTTTATTTTTTTGGCTCAGTGTGATGCAGTCAAATAAGGTTCTTGCATCATTGTACCCTCACCACAAGCTCATGTCTGCCCATTTAGATCATGTTTTCAACATTTCTTTTGAATTTCTTTCTAAATATCAAAAACCAGCATGTCATAAGTTTTCTTTGAAGCAAAAGTACTGTATGCAGCAGCAGGATTTTGGAAGAGAAAACACAAAATAAATTATGTAATTATCCTTAACAGTGTTGGAAGTCTTTTTGACAGGCGCAGATGTATTTGTAGTAAGAGAAAAAAAATTGTGAAGAAAGTGTGTGATGACTAGAATTGCTCTACAAATCTTATCAGCCTGGGTATTTAATTACATATCATTAAAATGTGTTGTTTGATACAGTCAGTTTAAACATTTACGTTTATTGTTCGTTTGTTATTATATTTCATTATAAGTAACTATCATTAGGGTCATGCACATGTTTTGTAACTCTTATTTTGAAAAGCTTTTTACGCGTCTCCTTTCATGGGTACTCTCGCGAGAGTTTAGACCTAACAGACTCGTAACAAGTTTGGCTAAAATGTTCAGCCATACAAGTCGACATACAAAGGTGAATTATAACATTTCTGCATACTTGGCAATAAAGGTAGATCTATCAACTCATATTGTGTCACGAATGAACAAGCAAGGTTACCAAAATACAGAGTTTATAACGCTACAGGTGAGTGACCGTTTGATGCAGCGGCAAGACGCGACCTGCTGCAGACCTGCAAACCGGCCCGTGGCTGGAGGAGTCCGTCAATAGATCAACTGTTGTTTCAGAGCGTTTCTTTTGTAATGGATTCATTGTCCCTCCCCCGTATTATATTTTGGCCATATAATGACATCAATTTTGCTTTAAATTACACTGTAAGATTTTGACATTGAAATTCTTTTTTTTTTTTTAGGAAAAAAGTTTATCACTTGTCTGAAATGCCCATCATCAGGAGACACATCAAGGTGTTTTAAGGTGTTAATGTTTTTTCCTTTGTATTTCATAGCTACACAACTATTTTGCGAGGAGAGGAGCAGCCAGCTCTCCAGAAATGTAAGGACTGTTGTTCCTTGTACCACTGTCCTTTCTGTGGGCCTGAGATGTTCAAACCCACCATCTAAAGCAAATGTTTGAAACATTTACTGGGTCACAGAAGAAGAGCAATACGGCACAAGGGCAAGTACTAAATAATGCGTTTAAGAAATTACAAGCATTTAAATGTATATATTTTACTTGAAATGAAGTCATAGAATATTCTGTATATTCTGTTCCTTCAAGTATTAAAATCTACTGAAGCATAGAATTTTATATAAGCATAAAGTATTACATGTATTACATGGATCTCTAACGGAGGACTCTTTTGCTTTTTACTAATTTTTTTCACTAGAGTTCTTCATTTTTAAATCATTTAAAGTGTGGTTTTATGGTGTATTCACTATTTACTTAGTTTAGTTATATGAAGACTTCATGGTGCTTGCTTCTCAACTCTCTTTCTCTGTAGGTTGGAGTCAGTGTGATTTGGAGAGAGGGGTGAAGCTGTGTTTCTCTCAGAGATGGACTCTACTGTGTAAACATGACAAAATTGAGCATGTGATGCCGTCTGGAACAAGCTTGCATATAGAGAAAGAGTAAGAGATATATAAACAATATGCAGATATTCATGAATCCTCAAGAGATAAAAAGAAAGACTACAAGTAAACAACTCGGAGGAAGCAGGACGTCAGTACTTGGAGGTAATGGCTAATGTCTTGGATTTTTAAATACTGAATTATTAACGTATGATTCTTAATCCTCTTTTTTCATTTGGTAGGTTTGGGGCCAAAATGGTCTGGAGAAACGTTTGGACCTTCCAGCTCTAAATAAACATGGAAAAGTGTACGAAGATGGTAAGAAACACTTCTTGTTGTCTGAAAAAATGTATCACAGTTTCCACAAAAATATTAAGCAGAGCAACTGTTTTCAAAATTGATAACACTAAGAAATGTTTCTAGAGCACCAAATCAGCATACAGTATTAGAATGTTTTCTGAAATATCATGTGACACTGAAGAAA